ACAATGGTAATATTACCCATTTCACAGAAGAAGAGGTCAGGGCTTTTAGACCTGCCTCAAAGACACCTGGGCGACTAGGAGAGGATACTCTGAACATGCCTGGTTGGGTCACAGGGGCAGGGCTACGGGCACCATATCTGGTTCCTTGCCCTTTCATCTCTGGCTCTTCCCTCTTCTCTTTCCTGGACAACATGGGTTGAGTAGCTTTGCTCTGCCTTTTGCCACGACATTTCTGCCCTGTGGTCAGTCAATCATGAACTGAGACCAGGAACCAAAACAAACATTTAGTCCTTTAAATATACGTCAGGTTTATTGTTCTATTAAAAAAAAATGGCTGACATAAGGCCAAAGTTCAGAGCAAGAGAACAGCAGGACCCTTCATGAGAGCACAGGACTGCCTGCTCCACTCTGGGAATGCTGCCTCCTGCCGTAGCCCTCTCACCAAGGCTCTATGTGAAGGCCAGCGATGGCTGTGTGAGCCTTCTTTCACTTCCCAAGTATCTACCAATGGGCTCCTGAAGAAGCCAAGGCATCATCCACAGCACCTACCCCTGAGGAGGGCAGTCATTAAGGAAGTCAAGTCAATTCAATGCCAATGGATGCTGAAAAAGGTAAGGAAGGGGCTAACAGGAGTTCTCAAATACTGAGGACTCAGGAAGTACAGTTATGGAAAATGAAGATCTGTACACTGGAGTTTCCCTGGGCCACAGTAAAGGAGAAGTGCAGGAACAGCACATGCAAAGACCCGGATGCACTTGCAGAAAAATGTGAGGAGTTCAGCGATGAGGTGTACTGAGCGGGAAAAGGAAGCATTAGAAAGTCTCTATTACTCACAAACTGAAGATAAGTCCAAAGAGGCCCTAGGGCCATCTGTTCAGATCATGAGAAAGAAAATACTATAGTTCTAAAACTTCCCACAGGTGACTAAGGGGTACCTCGCTGATGGGAGGGCTGCTTTCTCCTCCAAGCCCAGCAGCCCCTGCAGCACAGGACTGTGCATTCACTGCCCCAAGCTTCCAGCCTGGGAAAGTGCACCCAGTATTGGGTGGCACTCAGGGCTCAGGGCTTCTCTGGAGCCTGGGGTTCATTCCCATACCCTCGTGTGACAGATTCAGGATTCCTGATGATCTTTATTTCTTACAGAGTGAATCAGATCCAGAAATAATAGTGACTTAAAATGCAGGGTTAAAAACTGATCAAAGGTAAAAAGAACACGTAGGCATTTGCTCATTCTGATTGAGCTGTAGCATGTGTACCTGCTGCGCTTTCCTGTGTGTATCTGTATGCTTGTACTATTTCAACACAATTAAAAAGTAGGGGGAGAATACAGCTTGCTGCAGGCCTCACGCACATCTCTGCACCTTCCCTACTGACCTACTGGTAAAGGCCACACACATGGCCTCGGTGACGGCTCTCCTCAGACCCTCTCCTCCTGAGCAGGTGGAGACCAACCTTGTGCACATCTCTACAGCCGCTGCCACCATCCTCAGTGCTAATAGGATGTTTCAGTAACTGGCTCCCAAATGGTTGAGGTCCCTGAGAAAAGGTACCAGTGATTTGTGCCAAATCGCCAAAAACTCACCTGCTGTCTAACAGAAGGGGCTAGCAAACAGACTAGTAAGCTCCACATGACACCCCACTTGCCTAGACTCTTCTACCTCCTTACCGGCTGGGGGACCCTGAATAGGCTCAGTTTAAGAATCTGAGCCTCCTCATGTGTTAGGCGAAGACAATACTGCTGTGAGAGAACTGCTGTGGGCCTTGTGCTAACTGTGACCCACACCATCCCATGCAGTGCCCTGCAGGCAGCTGTCACTATGCAGAGAGACTGGGTTCTGACCAGTCGTGCAGCTTGCTTGCTGGTCGTCGTCACCCTCCTCGTCTCGCTGGGCAGAGAGTGCGGCTTCCGTTCCTCTCTGCTCTCCTGAGCTGTCCTGGTAAGCTGCTCCCACAAGAGGCTGAGCTGTAGATGCTAGCAAAGAGAAAGAAAAATAAAACCATAGACCTGAAACTTAGCCAAGCAACTGAGAAGAACACAAAGATACAACAGGGAAAATAAAAGCACTGGGGAGGCACAATGCAATTTATAAGATAAAATTAATCTATCGAGCTGCCATAACAGGACATAAAAAGCATAAATACACTGCAGCTTGTCTGAAATGGCTTAAGTCAGGTTCTCAAAACACTATGAGTGAGAAAATGAGTTCCATCGACTTGGGCCCATGTTTCCATGTGAGAGAGGTCTGGGGTCCTCTGGGCAGCAGCAGGAGCCGCACTTGGTTGAGGCAGACTGGTGTTTCAGCAAGTAGTGAAACACTGTTGAGTACAAGTGGCAGGTGCTGGGCTAGGCACTAGGGCACAAGTGGCAGGTTCTGGGCTAGGCGCTAGGGCACAAGTGGCAGGTGCTGGGCTAGGCGCTAGGGCACAAGTGGCAGGTGCTGGGCTAGGTGCTAGGGCACAAGTGGCAGGTGCTGGGCTAGGTGCTAGGGCACAAGTGGCAGGTGCTGGGCTAGGCACTAAGGCTTCTCAGGCTGAGTCCCCGCTGCCATAAATCTTCCCTCTCAGAAGCACCCACCCCACACTGACTGGGTTATCTGCAGCTGCCCACCCCCCAACTAGACAGGGAGCCCTCAAGACAGGGGCTGTAACTGATTCATCTCTCTCACTCCTACACGCTGTGTTGTGAGATTGCAGACACCCAGTGGCTGCTTGGGGATCATTCCCTGACTTGCACAAGTTGATGCTGGATGGAAGGAAGAAAGGATGGATAGGAAGTGAGGAAGGAAAATTCTGCCAAAAACTCACATACATGGAAGCTGCAACCATGGTAAACCCGAGACAACCTAAAATTCAGTGCAAGCTATCTCTGGCTACAGATCATCATGCAATTCACATGAGCACTATCATACACAAGGCTTTGTAAAGCAGGAGAGAATGCAGGCTTCGAAACCAGGCAGGCTGGATCACAACTAGCTCTGGAAGCCAGTAACAGTGTGACCAGAGCCACATAACTATCTCTCAGACTATCCCCTGAACTAAAAAGAGAGATAATTACTGAACACTCGAAGGACCAAATTCAATCACATTGTGTCTTTGACACCTATAGCAGGGATTAATAAATTACAGATGCTTGTTGCATTAATACCACAATCCAACTGCCTCCCTGTCATCTCCACTAGCAGGGCCAACAAGCACTTTAGTGAGTCCCAAACTAGACAACTAACTTAGCCTGCCTCTCATGCAGCCATGCCCATCTCTGAGTATGACAACTCGAGTCACCCTTCTAAGGGTTCACATCATAAATGAGCCTTTAAGAGGCTTTTGTATCTGTATATTCAAAATAGTTAGGACAGATATACAGCTACTTTCTCTTAATTCAATGAGAAGAAAGATTTGTACTAATAGTGTTTGGACAGGGTATCATGTCTGCATCTTGTACTATGAATAACCACTAAGACAACAATATGCAATGTACTAATTACTGAAACTGTCCTACTAATTGGTTTTGAAACTGTCTCACTGTTTCTCAATAAAATTATTAAAAAAAAATAAGTGAGCCCTTAAAGCAGGAGCTGGGCAACTTTTCTTTTCTTTTCTTTTTTTTTTTTTTTTTTGCTTTATCAATGACTTTATTTTATTTTTTTTTTCAATGTCAAATATATACTTTTTATTTCCTAACAGTCATCTGAGGGTTTCCCTTCACAATTAACTGAGAGATTAATTTGTTTTCATCTTGGAGCAACTTTTCTTAAGGAGGCTAATAAGAAAAGTTTAAGCTTTGCAGGCCCTAGGGTTCTCTATCGTAGCTATTCAGCCCTGGGAGCATAGACAACTACTTTCAGTTAACATGCACATGAATATACGTGGCTGTGTGCCAACAAAACTTTATTTACAAAAACAGGCAAGCAAGTTTGATTTGGCCCAAGGACAGAAGCTTGCTCATTTGTGCTTCAAGGCTTAAGTCAGATTATATCATTCTGCTGTTCAAAATCCTCCAACAATTTCCAGTATTACATAAGAATAGACTATGGGAGCCTCCCCAGTTGTCTGCCTATCCCTAGCCTCATCTCCTATGCCTGCCCCCTTTCTCACTCCAAACTAGCCACATGGCTTCAAAACTGGAAGTCAACATACATACTTTTATGGACTCATGAACTCTCAGAAAACAAAGTAAAATGCGACCGTGTGGTAATATGCACTGTTCAGGCAAGGACTCTCAGCATCCTCCACGTTTTCACAGGGGCAGTGGCTCAAAAACTCTACGCACCACTGTCTTAGACAAAGAAGCCACCACTTGAGGTGTTCCCTCCAGTCTCTGGATTCTGCCCCATCAGATTCATTTTTACCCTCACAATCTCTACTTTTCATGACCCCAAGAAGAGCAGCAGCAGTAGATTCAAAGCTGACAGGAAGGTAGGTCATTTCTAGACAGAGACTGAAAGTCAGTGAAGTTTGCACTCAGCCCAGAGATGCTCTAAACGTTCCAGAGGACCCTCGAGAAGAACTTGCACCTGCAGACCTCTGATGCCATGTGCCCAAGGCTTCCACAGACACAGCCAGGCCAAAAGCCCATAATGAAACTGCCCACAATCGGGCACCTGTTCACAATCCCAGGTGAGGGAAACAGACCCTTCAAGACCTGAGAACAAAAAAAATCCCACTGATCCGGACCCCAGGACAAAAACAAAACAATAGACTTGTCTTCCCCTTTTGTGTTCCTTCATTGTGCATTCGGTAAGATTAATCAATCAGTGCACTTCATGAAATCCATACTCAAACACTGCAATTCTGAACAGCAAGGCTGGCATTTCCAGTAGTTCTAGCATGTCACTCAGGTAGCTCACGGGAAAGGCGTATGTCTTGGTGCTTACCAGCCAGCAGCACTTGGTCAGGCGCTTGCCTCTCAGCCATCAGAGCCTCGGCCAGAATTAGCTTTTGGTGAAGTTGCTTATTGCGAGTCTTGAGCTCCTTCAGTTCCCCCTGCAACTCCAGGATTTGACCTTGCAGATGACCTTCCACCTCCTGGGTGGCAGGAAGGTGGTACATATTTCCTAATGACCGGGATGGTTTCTCTAGGATCGGCAAGCGGGACCTCTTAACATCCTGAAAACACACACACACACACACACACACACACACACAACAATGAACACACTTCAAATACATTTCTTTGAGTTGATCTTACAAAAGTCACGCTGATCTTATGAAATAGGTTTCAACCTGCCCACTCAGGCTGCCGGTGCCTACAGTAGCATCTGTGCTCCGCTTCCTGTCAAGGAGCACTTTTCTTGGCAGGTGTCCACTCTGATTGTCAAGGGTCAACTTCTTGACATCCTCTCAGCCCTGGCTGCTGTCTTTGGACAACCCAGATGTTCCATATCTGGCAGTTTAACATGAACTTCTGGGAGATATTTTTTCCTCCCACTTATTTCCTTATTCCTTACCATTCCCACTGTAAGTCATGTGTCTCCTACCACATTAGCCCACCAGAACTAACCTCTTACTTCCCAGGGGATTTCACAACCCATCCATCCTCAACACCTTCACTTGCAGAGGGTCACAGGCACTCCAAAGCCAACTGAAAATTCAGCTCTTCGATGCCATCACTCCATGTCCCACCCACGAGTCTATATCATCTCACTTTTCTGTCTGGGTAAATCACTCAGTCATCCACTGACTACAACCCAAAAACTTGGGAGTCATTTTTAAATTTCCCTTTATTCTCATCACCCTCGCCTTTTAGCAGACTATAACAATTCCAACTCCTAAATTATCCCTCAGTTCTCCACAGCCACCTCCAACACAAAGAGGCTGCCAGCTCTCACTGAGGCCACAGTAACAGCCTCCTGCATGGCTCCTCCCCCACGCACTCACTTTTGTTCTCTCTCATCCACTCTTACAACTGCTTCCAAGTTCACTTATGAAAAAACATCAGACTCTCTGTACTTTCCACTAACTATAAATCATTCATCAGAAACTCAGCGCACACATGCTTTCCTAAAGACAACGGGTCCTGAGTTCCAAGACCAACTCAGGTCTCCCTGTTACACCCTTCAGCCCCTGGTAGGCTCCTCAGAGAACATCAGTGTCATTATAACCACTGATGCACTGCCTCCTCACTGCACCAGGCTGACAAGGCCCAGCGTGCAGGCGCTCTGCATACGTGGCCACACACTAGCCGCAGCTTCCAACACAAGAACTCGTACATAGCAGGCCCTCCAAAACTAATTTTAGGATGAAGATACAAACAATAAGAGACCCAGTGAGTGAGGTGCCTAAGTGGTGAGTCTTCAACACATTCAAAAACTGAGGGGAAGGACCTGAATCTAAAAGATATAAAGAACTATTACAACTGAAAAAAAAAAAAAAAATCAATGATCCATTTAAAAGATGAGCCAAACATCACACAGTTCTTTCTCTAAAGGAGTTACCATACAGCTAATATCATAGGAAAAGATTCTGGTATAAATGAGTTCATAGTATTATACCACCACTTCATCCCTTAAGATATAATCAAACAGCAGTGATAAGTACTGGCCAAGGTATGAAGAAATCAGATCCCTAAGCACTGTTGCTAATGGTAAAGGGGCACAGCTGCTTAGGAAACAGGCTGGCACTTCCTAAAGAGGTTAAATAAGGAGTTACTATATGACCTATCAAATCTTCTCTCAGGTATATATATATACCTAAGACAAAGAAAAACATACACATATAGAAATTTGTACTTAGTTTAGTAGAACTTGTATGTGAAATTTTATGTGTCTTCCAGACTTTTTCTTTTAACCCCTAACTAGGATACTATTACTCCCTACTGTTAATATTACTGTTTTGGTTTACTTAGGATTTATAAGACTATCTAGATATCTTATTTCTTCTTATATTCTTTTTTGTAAGTTATATTTCGCTAAGAACGTGTTTATTTGCCTTTATGTTTATTGGTATACAATAAAATATTTTCTTTAAAAAATTGTACTTATTGTTCATAATATTCACAAAGCAGAAACAGTTCACATGTGCTGCACTTGGAGAATGGATAAATAAAATATGGTATAGCCATGCATTAGAATGTCACTTAGCGATAAAGTCAATCATCTACTCATTCAGAGCTCCAACAGGAATGAGCCCTGAAGGCACTATGCTAAGTAGAGTACATATTTCTGACTCCATTTATACAAAATATCCAGACTGGGCAAAAGGAAACAAAAGGTCAAAAAGTAAACTGACACATTCACAAGGAAGCGGATATTCATGTGTCTTGCTGCTGGTGGCTGATTTAATTTTATTGGTAAAAAGACCAATAAAAGTGATTAGGTCTCTGTACCATCCACCAAGGGATGGCCATGCTCGAACCACCGTAGTTCAGGCCAGCAGGAGCTCAGGAGGCCACGGCTGGGGCTGGGTGGGTGGAGGAACTGGGCCTCAAAGCTGCTGAGTACCAGGTGTCTTTTGGGATAGTGACAACATCCTAACATGGTAATGGTTATACAACTTCACTGAACTTCAATGGATGAAGTGTATCGTATATAAATTCTATCTGAGTGCTATCAATAATTTTTTAGCAAGAGAGGAATAAGGAACCTGAGATTAAAACAGGAAAAATTTGAGACGTAAGGTATGAGAAGACAAGCAAAGTCTCTCCGGAAGGAGCAGAGTGAGGGCCCTTCTTGCACATTCTAGGGTGTAAAATGTTTTCCAGCACAGCCTCCAGGTCACAACTTCCAGGCCACCTCTGCATTCTCAGAGCTCAGCAGGTCATAGAAGGTATTGTGCCTGTTCTCTGAGAGGTGAGACGAGTCCCCTGTCATGCAGCAAGAAGGCTCAAGGGTTGGGCTGAAACTAGCTCTTCAGATGCTAGTCCTCAGGCAGGAAAAGAAAGATGCTTTCTGCCCTGAAATTCCAGCAAAGAGAAGACAGCAGATTGAAGGACAAGAGCAGCCTGGGGGTGAAGAGGGAACACTTGGGAGGAGGTGGATGGCTCAGCCAAGAGGGCTGGAAAATAACAGTCACTTGCTTGGTCCTGGGTCTCCACCAATCTTTATTCTTAGATCAAAATCTGTGTGTCATATGGCAGCAGAAAAGATATCTGCAAGTGTACAAATGCCAAAGCCAATTTCAAGCTGGAAGACCGCCGTCAGTCAAGCCAATGCCTGTTCTAAAATAACAGCACGCGAAATGCTACCTTATGGGCTCCAAACAGAGTCCACCTACCCCTTATTAGCAATGTCATCTCAGAACTTCTTTCTTGGTAATGGATGGGAGACAGGAACTCGTGTGCTCTGAGATCCTACCATAGAGAAAGCACTGCCGTAGACATTCATGACACATTACATCTTTCTGCCACCACGCCAGCCTCAGGGTCTAGGCCACATTAACCTCCTTCAAGCCACTGAGCAAGGTCAAGGACTGATTACCCAGGGACTCAGCTTAAGTTAAGCAAAGTCTCTCCTTGTGCCCCTGTAACTAAACAGCCGGGATATGGGGTCTTGGCTTCACCCTCCACCGACAGTTACGTGTGCAGGACATCAAAGCTACGGTGTAAGCCACCACCGAAAGCACAAGGAAAAGCATTCAACTTGCTTCTACTTTGTATACACTGGAAACCACACAGCTGACGAGAGGGTTCCAGACTCCCTGAAAAAGGTAGGCTTGTACTACCTCTCCCTGCCTCCGAAACCAGCCAAGTGCATAACCTCCCAGTCCACTGAGGCATGCTGATCCATTTTACTGAGCCTTTTAATATCCTTTATCTCTTCATGGGCGGGGGGAGGAAGATGTCTGATCCCCAGTCCAACGTGCCAGCTCTGCCCGGAGGGCTCAATGACACTGGGATTGAGACTGGGCGTGGTGGCACGCACCTGGAATCCCTGCACTTGGGAGGCTGAAAAATAGGAAGGATCATGACAAGTCTGATCTGTATAGTAAGACCCTGTAGATCCTACAGACCCTGTACTGAATACAAAAATAATAACAATAAATAAAAAAACAAAACTCATGCTTGTTGAGAAGATTAAGTGAGAAGATGAACAAATCTCTGATACATAAGTAGGTAATAAAAATTTTAAAATAAATCACAGTTTCTTGGGGCCGGGGAGATGGCTTAGTAGAATAAGCACTTCCCTGGCAAGCACAAGGGCCTGGAGTTAAATCCCCAGTTCCACCAAAAAAAAATAAATAAATAAATAAAAAATCAGTTTCTCTTCTTTTTAAACACAGGCAGGACAGATAATTTCAAACAAAAAATATTTAATATATTTGGGAAAATTAAATCCATTCAATTATCCAATCTTCCTGAACAGAGAATGACATCTCCCACACAATAGAAAAAAGCAAACAAAAACAGAAACCAAAAAAACCACCTAGTTTTCCTAATGTACAGGTATCAACTGAAGGAGCTGGGGCAGACAAGAGCACTTCCATTCTAGCCAAATTGCACAAATTTGCATTTTGAGTACCATTAATATAATGGCAGTGTATTTTTTTTTTTTTTTTTTAGGTCTCTACTGATATCTTTAGAAAATCCTTTTCTGGAAATTACAGTTTTGGTGCATAATTTAAAACAATCAAAAGCAATTTTGCTAATGATATACCTAGCGTTCCTTGGTATATACAAGAGCAGTAATTTATTGGTCAGAAAATAAACTTAATTCTCCCTTCTGATGCTATGAAGCGGCGTGTATAGCTGATTTCTCAGGTACAAAACAGCCATTAAAAACAAGAATTCTGTGGTCTACATTGGAACTCTAAACACAATCTACTTCTTAACACAGCTCCCAGCCAAGGGGATTCTCAACCCAACCTCTCCTCTCAACAGGACCACAGTGGAGACCCAGGCAGACGCTAGCAAGAAGGCCTCCTTTTTAATAGTCTTGCCTACTTGATTATATTTTTTGGTCTGTGTTTTGTTTTGTTTTTCTATTGGGTGAGACACGTCATTCTCCCAAACACATTAAATACTTTTTGTTTGAAATTATGTGCCCTGCTGTGTTTTAAAAGAAGAAGAATTGTGCTTTACTTTAAAATGTTTATTATCTACCACATCATTCCAGACTACTACAACAGAAAGACAGTCTGACCGAAGGCTGGGTGTCAGACCCAGGGGAGCCAGCCCAGGCTCTTGGCTGCTGGCCAGTATGCTAACATCATTACGGTTTCACGTCAACTGCTAAAGGAAGTGTCCCTCAGCAGGTAAAACCTAGAGTGTGGCACGTCTTCACACCAGAGTCTTGTGTAGCTAGTGTAAGGGGAAATGTCTTTAATATAATGGAAAAAAGAAAACTACAGACAGATAGACATGATGCTATGTACAGTTTCTCTACGGAAAATGCAAAAATATCCTGACACAGACAAATGAAATAGGGCTGGGGTTGGGAAGGAAGTCAGAGGTCAGGAAAGAGGGAGGGAAGGGGCAGCTAGAGGCACAACACCTCTGAGAAGAGGGCAACAGCAGTGCAGGCAGAGACATACCAGGCTTTTTCTTCACATAAAAGGAAAAACATGGTGGCAGTGGAGGTAATATACGAACTTACCTTGTTGGCCAGGCTGGGGTGAGGAAAGGGAGGGGCCTGCTGTCCTGGCATGCAGCCTTCATCCTCTGGCTTAGCACCATACATGGCGCTGGTCGGCTCCTCCTCCCCGGCTTCTCTCTTTTCATCACATTCCCACCAGAGCAGGCGGCCCTCCCCAGGCACAGTCTGCACCGAGGCATCCTTCAGCTCCACCTCGGCCACTTTGCCCTGCCTCCCTAGCTCAGCCTCTGCTGGCTCTAGTTCACCTTGCGGCGGAGTGAGTGAGTTGGCCTGGACCAAGTGTCCCAGCTCATCTCGCAGCTGAACGGCCATTCGCATGAGTGTCTTCTCGGTCGGCCCATTGGGGTGCTCTCCGGGAACTCCCTGCTCTGCTGAGCACTTCTGTTCTAGAAGCAGTCCATGGAGTGCTCTCAGAAGGCCTGACCTGTTTCTCAAAGAGAAGGAAGCAAGAGAGATAAGCATGCCCTTGATCCACTTCCCAAGCTGTCCCCATCTCTTGCCCAGATTCTGCCTAACTAACTACAATCCCCACAATAAACCAGGACCCACACCAAGCACTTCATCCCATGAATCTCAAGGGCGATGTCTAGACCACGGACAAGAGCAGCATCTGTCACAAGGTACACAGCAAGTGAGCGGGCCACATGGACAGTAAGCGTAGGCTGGGCGCAGTCGGAGGACATGGGCAACAAGGTGTCAAGATGTTACAGGGTGCCCAACCCAACCCAAGACACTGGCTCTGTCCACACGTCCAAGGGCAAGAGCAACTTTGGATAAATCTCACCCACCTGTCTGGTCCCAGGTTCCTGAGCTATTCTGGCACACAGTGGGTACTCCACTATGCTTCTGTACGTGCACGCATATGGAGCAGAAGAAACACTGGCATATAAAAATGCCTTCAGGGGTGGGAGTGCCTGGCCTGAGAAAGACCATGGATTTGATATCCAGCATTCAAAAAATAACAAAATAAAATAAATTGGCTTAAAGTTCTAACTCTGAGTTTCTTTGCAAAGAAGATAAGTCTCCCTCCACAGGAGAGCCTGAGGAGTAAGCAAGACAGTGTCTGGGTGGCAGCTACTGGCACATCCCTGGCCACACATCTTTGGCTCCCCTCTGACTTCAGCCGCAGCTGTGGGACGGCTCCTGCAGACGAGGCCAGTCCCACCTGCAGCACTCTGCATTTCATTGCCTGGGCTTTTTCTAAAGCTGAGCCAGCAGCCAGGCAGTGTGCAGGTGGGGGGCAGCTGTTACTGCTGGGGAACCCTCGATCAGTGCAGAAGACATCTGTGTGGGAGATGGCTCAGGCTCTAACCTTCACAGGACAACATAGGCACAGGCTACTCTGTCACTAACAGGGCACCAGCTGGATGAGCCCCAGCTGCCTAGAGCAGTTACCAGGCCAGTCTACACCCTCACTGGCATGGCCTTCACTGTCTCACTCCCTTAGCACTCTCTCTGGCACTCCTCTTCCCTGGTGCCACATTCTGACTTAACCACTGGTACTCACATCTGCATCCGAGGCTCTGCTTTCCAAGGAAACAAAACTAGGCCAGCATGTAACAAGTGGGATGGTGCCAGTGTATAGCTCTTTTGTGAGTGTTTCTTGGGCCAGGCACCATAGGGGGACCAGGGATCCAAAATTGTCAGCAAGGGCTTAGGCCGCTGTGAGAGCCCCCATGTATACAAATCACCACTGCACAGTGCAAAAAGGCAAGTTTGATGGGGACAGAGGTCAACTATACCCATGTCCAGACACATGTCAGAAGAGAGCTTCAGAGGCAGAATGGATATTGGCAGGGGGTCAGTGCAGAGCAATCTGGTCACGGACAATGACATGAACAGTCACCAAAGGGTAGTAAGTGAGGAGGTAAGGCTGGAAAAGGCCAGGGAGACACGAAGAGTCTGGCAGACTACATGATGGAAGGAGGGCCCCAAAAGGCCTGTGCAGATTTCCTGCCGAGAAGGTGGTGCGAGCACACACAGGAACTCCTTCCACTCTGTTCTGATCATAGAAATGACAGCAAATTCACAATGAGAAAGCATTTCAAGGTGCCACTATGGTCACAAACTCGCTATAAAGTGATCTATAGATGGGACACAGAAGAAACAAGCCTGAGAAACAAGCAGGGGCCTTTGCAGAAAGCAGTGGAGCCAAAGGATAAAAGAGGAGCCACTTGAATGTCACTGACCCTTATTAGGAGTGGAGCAACTTTAGGACCACCACACAGGGAGGATATGGGTGGGATCCATTAGTACAAGCAAACTGAATTTGCACAGGAAATCCAACAATGGGGCTGGCGAGATAGCTCAGTGGACTAAGCGCCTGCTTAGGCAAGTGCAGGGACCAGGGTTCGACCCCTGGGACCACATGTCATGCCGACCCCACCCTGTGGTGGTACACACCTGTAATCCCAGCACTGGGGAGCCTGAAAGCAGGAGAATCACCATGCGTCAAGCTGCATAGTGAGACCCTGTACCAAATACATGAGACCCTGTACCAAATACATAAAGGAAAGAGAGAGAGAGAGAGAGAGCGAGAGAGAGAGAGAGAGAGACAAGAAACTAGAGAATTTACTCTCAAGAAAGCAGAAATCATAAAAGCCTTCAAAATAAAAATGTTTACCCTGCAAGAAATAAAGAAAACCTTCAAAAGAAATGAAGAAGAAGTGAAGAAACTGAGGTGGAGAAGTAGGGGGATGAATGGACAGGCTGTAGGTACAGCTGGCCGAGAGCCACCCGCGTTGCAGGTGGGGGCGAGCGCACGCAGCCTGCACTGAGAAGGCAGCACGGCCACACAACCTTACCTGCTCTGCTTCTCCCTGCATTTCCTCCTTCCTGCCTTGTTTCAAGGAATCTTGTGAGATAGTCGGGGCAGGTCCTCCAGCTCCTATAGCACACCCCGCCTTCCCTCCCTCTGATCTTCGCTACTCTTGGCAGTAGCAGGTACCCTGATTCAGCCTCCTCACTGCATCCTCTGAGGGTAGGAACAAGGCCCTCCTCAGAGCCTGATCCTGTGACACAGATCTGGAGCAGGAGCGACTCGGCTTAAGTTAGCACCTGCAGCATAGAGAAGTAAGATAAAAGAAAACCAGAACTAAAATGTACGGTGGCTTCCTCACTGCTATCGTAGCATCATCATGCCGTGCTGGCTCCGGATGTGCCAGCCACTAAAACCAGGCATGGTGGTGCATGCCTGTAATCCCAGCACTGGGGAGGCTGAGACAGGAGGATCACTACGAGTCTGAGCTGCACAGCAAGACACTGTATCAAATAAATAAATTTTAAATTTAAAAAATAAAGAAATATAAAAATATTTCTGATATTACAACCATCAGGAGATAAAACCCAAGAAAAATGCTTTACAAATAGGGGAAAAGGTAATAGAAGAGGCCATTATAATATACTAAAACAGTGGTGTCATTAAATAAAACATTCCAAGTGTTACTTTGCTGGAAACCTGAATAGCAGATCTATTAAGCTGTCACTGCAAACAGGAACTTTGGAATGGTTCCGTCCAAGGGCCCTGTCAGAGACCCAGAGTGTTTCGGTGCCCTTCCCCAGCATCTGTGTCACACAGAAGGTGCGGAGCAAAGCGCTGACATTTACCAAGCACTCTCCGTGTGCCTCATCCTTTAAATACACCGACTCCTCAGACTCAGGCTGTGACAGGGGAACTATTATTAGCCTCATTTTACAGATGAAAAAATGGGCTCACAAAGATTCAAGATCCCTCAGGAAAATGACAGAGCAAAGATTAGAGCCTTCTGACTCCAAAACACGACCAGCTCTTCCTTGTTTTCTAGACTTTCCTTCTGCTATGAGGCTGAACTATTAATTGCCCACATGTTCATTCAAATATTTATTGAGTACTTTCATTGTGAGACATAAGACAGTGGTTATACATGGTAAAAAAGAATAACAGAGTCTGCATTCTGTTAAGAAGACAGACAGACACAGCCATGCATACACTGATAACTACAAAACTCAAGGAAAAGTAATGATAAGTAATATGAACAGGAAGGAGGAAGGAATAAATCCAGAGACAAAGCATCAAATAAGATTCCCTTTAGAAAGTGTGGGCAAGAAAGGCCTCTCTACAAAACTGATATCCAGCAGAGGCACAGCTCATCAGCTACATGTGGCTAAAGCACAGTCCTGGTAAAGTGAACAGCTATTCTAACTCCTGCTCATGGGAACAACTTGGAAACATGCAGAACTGAAAGGTCCATGTGGCCAAGGGTCAGTGAACTAGAGGTGGCTGATGGAGGCAGAAAACTGGTGGGGGCAAGGTCAAGAATTCCCGGCTTCCTCTGTCAGCAATGGAAATCCATTGGAGGATTTTAAGGATGGCAGAGACATGATCTGGTCTAAAGTTTAGAAAGATCTGGGCCTAGAGGTATAGCTCAGCTGTAAAGCAACTGCGTAGCCTAGACATAATCTTTGTTTTCATCTCCAGTACCTCAAATAAACAAATCACTTTGGCAACTCTGTGGAAAATGGAGGGGCAGAATGGAAGCAGGGGGACAAATAAGGAGGCTGAACTGAGGAAGGAGGCGGGCAAGAGAGGGCAGCAGCTTGGATTAGGAAGGCAGGAACAGAGATGTGAGGTAGCTGAATCAGGACTGGGCCTTGGAGGGGGACTCAGCAGGATTTGCTGCTGGATGGGGGACTGAGGAAATTACATTTTTGATAATAGTAATAGGTAGCAGTGCTATTAAGAGACATGAAAAAGACTGAGGGGAAGTAGATTAGAACAAGTAGTTTCTGATCAGTTCACGATGAAATGTCCAGTGGACAAGTAGGTGGAGATGCCTAGGGCAAAGCAAGCTGTGCGACCTGGTGGGCGGGTCTGGACCACAGTGTGCATTTAGCTGTCAACAAAGCAAACTACTTCACGAGAGGGAGGAGCCATGCAGCAAAGGAAGGGATGAGAACAGTACCCACACAGGAGATGGAGCAGGAGTAGCCGGTGGGGCAGAAAGAGACAGGCCACGGAGAGGGGTGGGCGGGTCTGGACCACAGTGTGCATTTAGCTGTCAACAAAGCAAACTACTTCACGAGAGGGAGGAGCCATGCAGCAAAGGAAGGGATGAGAACAGTACCCACACAGGAGATGGAGCAGGAGTAGCCGGTGGGGCAGAAAGAGACAGGCCACGGAGAGGGGCCAGCTTCTGCTAAGAGGTGGGCCCCCACCCCTAGATTTCAACTTGGAATCACTGTTGACTTGGATGGGCAGAGCAAAAGTTACCAAAATACTTAGAATGGTAAAAAGAGAATGGAAGGAAGAAATTGGAGGCAGTAAAGATAGGCAAATCTTTTGAGAAACCCTGCTTCGAGTGGGAATGCAGGAACAGGGTGGCAGCTGCCGTGGATGTGAAATCAGAGGGCGAGGGGTCAGCTATCAGGTGTGTCTCATGTTTACAG